GGAATCTCTACAACAAAGATAGCTTTTGTCACATCTTGTAACCAGTAAAGCTAAAGGAAATAGCTAGAACCACAGCAGAATATAAGCAGCTGATTCTGGAAAGCTTTCCTGGGACAGACAGTGGCAGCAGCCACCAAACCACTTTAACACCTATGGCAGCTTCTATAACATTTGCATCAGAAAAGGGAAGCTGTCTGAAAGACTAAAACCACACATTTGCAATAGCACGTTTTTAATTGCAAACATACAAAATACTACAATGTAAGAGGCAGAAAGAACAAACATTTAAGTAAATTATGCTTAAAGCTTCATAATAGTGTCCATCCTCTGAGGTATAGACATTATATAATAATCTCCAATGTGAAAGCAGGTAAATACACAGAAGGCTTTCTCCAAATGTTTAGTTTCTGTGAACCTACATTACCTGGGGGAAAAGACTGATAAAGATCAGAGAGGGCACAAATTAAGACTCTGAGAAAAAGACATAAACCTGATGCCACAAACTGAAATGAATCACCTAGATATCAGTCAATTCCATAACAGTGATTTATATCTTCTAGTTCCTTAAATGGGTTGGAGCGATAGCACAGCGGGTAGGGCATTTGCCTTGCACGCGGCCGACCTGGGTTCGACTCCTCCGCCCCTCTCAGAGAGCCCAGTAAGCTACTGAGAGTATCTTGCCCACACGGCAAAGCCTGGCAAACTACCCATGACGTATTCGATATGTCAAACACAGTAACAAGTCTCACAATGGAGACGTTATTGGGCAAATTGATGAACAACAGGAGGACAGTGCAGTGCTAAAGTCCCTTAAACAGCGAAGAACTGAAAGACTACAGGAGGAAAGGGCAAACAAAAACTTGCACAGTACACACCTACCACATGTCAGTGAATACTACAGACATGTCCTCCTACCTACAACCGCTTTAAGAGTTTAAGATAACAATTTGCCTGGGGCCTGACCACCTTGACACCTCCTTTCACAGCTGTGGGACCTTGGGAAATGATGATGGTCACTGTGCCTCAGTTTCTTCATCTAAGAGAAGAAACTCCCCAGGTGGTAAAAGTTACAAAGAAAGCAGGCTAACCAACCTAGCTCTTAGAATAGCAACTAGCACACAGCAAGCCCTCCATGTATCAGCTGTTTCTCATTTTTACCACAGCAGCCTTGGGAAGAAAATATACCTTGTAAGTTGCTACAGTAATAGTATCTTTCATTTACAGAGGAGGCAATTTTGCAAAGGTGGGCAATTAACTTGTTCAGTCACAGGAAATAAGAGGTAAAAAACCATTCTTCAGGGGTATGGTGCCACCAGCAGGTCAATTTGTACCTGTGAGGCGAGTGCATCAGTAGCCTGATGGCGCCTTCAGACTTCCAGATACCCCAAAATTGCTGCTGTGCCTTTGGCCGGACCCCAAAAACTTGGGGCAAAGTTTACCAAGAAAGTAACCGATCAAAAGTTACGTATGTGGGAGACACACCCACAAACCACCTCGGGCTCAGCTATATAATTGGAGGCATGGCCTCTCTGGTTTCTGATTGAACTGCTTAATGATCCCAGAGACTCAGAAACAAATCTCGAAACCCAAGGGATTTTGGCAGAAATGCATCTGGTCCCTGCAATGGGTTACTGGCGCTGGGCCAATCCAGGTGGGAATAGGTTTCATGCCTTGGCCTGTTCCCTCTGCTCCCCCTGGCGGTCCGGTGGCCGCCATCCTCCAGAGGCCACTGGATAGACAGGTTTGGGCCCCCCTGCAGCAACGAGACACGTGGGGCCTCATAGGATCAGGGTGGAGCCAGCCCTTTCCTCCCTGTCCAAAGGAGACCCCGAGTTGCCGCCCATGAAAAGCCTTTCTGGCTCCTGATCAAGCTGTTTAACAGCCATGATCCCAGAGACTCAGGGACAAATCTTGGAACCCAGCAGATTTTGGCAGAAATCCCTCCAGATTTAAGTGTTAAAATTTCGGAATTTCAAAATCGTGCGGCCACGCAACATCATGTTATTCTTAACCAGCAATGAAAAACAAATTGTCTACTGTTGCCTTTTCAGCAGATCTAAGTGTTGAGGTAAAATCCCAAATAATAATGGTGGGTCTGGTGGCAAAATATTGAATGTGATCAAAATAGAGAGTAATGTGAAAATCATCTGCCCCTCAGGTAGGGGGAGGGTGAGGGATGGGGGCATACTGGGGTTTTTGGTGGTGGAGAATGGGCACTGGTGAAGGGATGGGTGTTTCATTGTATGACTGAGACTTAAACCCCAAAGCTTTGTAACTGCTCTCACGGTGATTAATAAATAAAATTATAAAAAATGGAAAAAAAAGTAAGGTGAAGTTCATGCCCAATTCAATTTGCTAATCAGTTGCTGAATAAATAGCAGTACTCCTACATATAAAAAAAAATTTGCCAAAGATCTATGCCTATGTTCTTGGTTTTCTTTTGTATCAGTCAGTATTTAATATTGTTAAGGGTTTTTAATCTGTTGAACTAGTTTTCTTCTTTTAGCAAACCAAACCAGTGCTATAAACTGATGAGTGTAGTTTTATTTCCTCTAGTGGTGTTGGGGATCCAATCCAGGACCCCCACTTGGCAGACAGATACTCTGCTCTGCTTCTAGTCACAAGCCCAGGCCCTGAATAGCAGTATTAAAATGTAATATTTTCATTTAAAAAAAAAAGCCATTCTTGTTCTACTCTGCAATATCGTCTACCTTAGCCAAGGCCTCCTGCAAAATAAGTCAGCTATACCTTAGAGAGAGACTGAAGGGTCAGACTGTGCTGAAAGGAAGTCCCGGTGTGCTAATCTTAACCTCTCATGTCAACACCAAGGACAAAATATTTATACAAAGTTAGAGAGAATACTGCTGTCTCGCCATAGATACATAGCTAGTGAATTAGTCTGAATCTCAAAAGCAAGTCTTGAGGAGACACATGGGGAAAGGAGGAAGCGGGGACGGGGAGTGCAGGGAAGAGCAAAAGGAGGGAAATGAAAAGCAAAGAGATTTTTCTATAGAATTTAAAAACAAAATACTTGTGTATTTTGCCCCTGAGATATTTTGAATGAGGTCAACAGTACCTAAACTAATGAATACGCTGGTCTAGTTCTAATACACACAGCTGTGCCAGACACAGACTAAAGGCCTACAGGGCCCTTTTTATCCTCTTGACAGGACAAAGGTCAACCTTACCTAGATGCCAGACAACAATGAGCAAACTAAACAGGCTTGCTCTGTGGTTCACTCTCAACTGCAGGGCTCGAATTTTTAGAGTTGTGGGTTTTTCCCTCCCAGTGTTCATTTTTTAATTTTTTCAAAGCCATTCATAATTGGGGTTGGAGCGGTAACGCAGCGGGTAGGGCATTTGCCTTGCACGAGGACAACCCAGGTTGATTCCTCCATCCCTCTCAAAGAGCCGGGCAAACTACTGAGAGTGTCCCGCCTGCAAGGCAGAGCCTGGCAAGCTTCCCATGGCATATGGGATATGCCAAAAACAGTAACAAGTCTCACAATGGAGACGTTACTGGTGCCCGCTCAACTACGGGAGGGCAGTGCTACAGTGCTACAGTTCATAATTGAATTTCTGTCACACAGTATTCCAATACCCATGCATCCACTAGTGTATATTTCCCAGCACAAGTGTCCCCCAGGTTCCTCCCATCACCCTCCAACTCCCACCAGCTGCCTGCCTCTATGCTCTATGGCAGGTGCTTTCCTTCTCTCTCTCTCTCTCTCTCTCTCTCTCTCTCTCTCTCTCTCTCTCTCTCTCTCTCTCTCTCTCTTCCCTTCCCCCTTTTTGGGCATTGCGGTTTGCAATATTGATACTGAAAATCCCTTTCCCTCCTTTGAACCCTCAGAACTTGCGCAGCGTGATCATTCCCAGCGATTATTATCATACGGGTCGCTTCTCTACCTTCCCTACCCTCCGCGCAATGGTTGGAACTAACCCCAAATGTGTGCAGAGGTTGTGTTTTAAAGAGAACATCAATCCGAGAAGTCAGGAACCCCGATTTCCAGCCCGAAGACGTGTGAGGCAGATTGCCCCAGGTCCGCGTGCGGGCCTCTCTCCTCTGGGCCTAGTCGCCCCAGTCCGCCGGTCACTTTCTAGCGCTCACGGCACCGCGGCGCCCACAGCCGATATGGGGAAATGCCAAGGGCAATCTGCCATCTCCTCCTCGGTCCCTTCAGGAGTTGCCCGGACTCCGGTGACCCCCGCCAAGGCGCTGGGAAGCACGTCGGCTCTTTTCTCCATTCCCCGCCCTCCCCACCACGGCGGCTACGAGAAAAGGGCGCACGGCGCCGTGGGTGCGAGCGGCGGGAAACGGCCCCAGCCTGACACCGGGCAGGGCTGGCTCCACGTCCCGCCGGCGGCCAACTCGCCAACCTCCAGACCCGCCACTCGGAGTCACTAGGACGCCCGCCCACCGCCGCCCACTCACCGCCGCACTCGGCAGAAAACTGGTCCCCCCAGTCTCCGGACGGCGGGCTGCAGCCGCCGCCGCCCGCCGGGGCCTCCTGCTGCTGCCGATGCTGCAGCTCCTGCTTCAGCAGCGAGAGTGGTGAATAGTGCTCGGTGGCCAGGGCGCCCGGGCACAGCCCGGCTGACAGCACCCCCAGCAGCAGCACCAACAGGACGCGCCAGGCGCCTCCGGCCGAGAACACAGCGCCTCCCCAGCAGCAACAGCAGCAGCAGCAGCAGCAGCAGCCGGCAGGTGCCATCTTCCCGAAAGGCGCATGTGCAAAGGCCTCCCCCGCGAGGTGCGGCCTCGCCGCCCTAACCCACCGCGGCAGGTGAGCCGTGGCAAGTGGGCAAGAGAAGGGAAATGGCATTGCCTAATGGAAGTTGTAGTCCCAGCTCCGCCGACTTCGAGCGCCTTTCCCGGTCGGGGGACTACGATTCCCAAGTCGCCGTGCGCGGCGCAGGTTTTTCCGGTACGGCGTCTGACGTCCTCCCGCTTCTGTGTCGGAAGTTCTGGGCGAACTTGGAGTGCAAGTGAGCCCTGCTGGAGGCGGGGTGCGCCTGGGACCTGGCCAGTGCAACATGGAAGGGGTTGCGGCTGGGAAGAGGGACAAAATTGGGATGCCGGCGACCTCTGCTGCTGCTTCAGCCTCCTGCCAGTACAGGTGTATCGAATGCAACGAAGAGGCCAAGGAATTGTACAGAGACTATAACCATGGCGTGCTGAAGATAACCATCTGCGTGAGTTGTCAGGTGTGGGGTACCTTTGCCAAAAAGTGGGCTGGAGGGATTTGGGGACCAATGGCTGTGAGTCAGTGATGGAGCACCGAACCTGCCTTGACGAATGTGTGAAATTTGTCAGAGCTATTTGGGGCGATACTGAAAATGGACGAGGTTCAGGGTTTTCGGTTCAAATCAGTTCAGTCATAACCATAACTCCTTCCAGAGTCAGTCGAGCCGGTCGCTTGGATAACCTAACCCATCATATGAAAAATTCACAAGTTTATAACGTATTGTTCCTGTTGCAGGTAAGATCCGGGCGAACAAATTGTTCGATGGAGACAATTGTGGGTTATGCAGAGAAGTTTAAAGCTCAAATCAGGCTTATATTTAGGCTCAGGTCAAAGCTATTTCTTCGTAGTCTCTCCGTTTCGTGTACAGTTGATATCGTGCTTACACGGCATAACCCCATATTAGATTTTCAGAGGATACCTTTATTCCTTCAAATTTTATTCATTGTGAGTTCAGAATTTTTTATAGGAGGCAGAATGCTAGAGGGTGGTAAAGTAAAATTTTGCTTTTAAGGTATTCCGAGTCAATCTATAAAAAATGCTCTTCTGTTTTAAAACTTTAAAAATTGGACAGGGAATACGACTCAGTGGTAGAGTTGTATGAGTCCTGGGACGCAGAGCTGCAAAAAAAAATTTTTTTTAATTTAACAAATTAAAATCACAAAATAGGAAGTTTTTTGAAGACCATTATGAAAGAACTTGTCACGTAGAAGGCTGGCTTTTTTTTTTTTCTTTTGGGCATCACCCATCGATATTGGTAAAACCCAGTTGTCATTTTACCAGACAAGCACCTTACCCACAGTACTAACCCTCCGGCCCCTGAAAGCATTTTTGTCACATTTTATTCTCTGGTAGCTTTCTATTGCTCTTTAGAAAAAGCAATGCCAGTAACACAGGGGAGCATACAAAGTGTACCTCTTTAGCCTGATATCAATTGATAAATTCACTATTCCTCATTTAAGTGTTTTTTTCTCACTTGGCAAAATTTCAGCTCACATAAGTGGTAACATAATGCCTTCTGTATCCCTCCACTCTTGTATTTCCTAATGAGATAGAAGATAATATTCTTATTTTTAAAATGGCAATTATTAGTAATGTACATAGTAGGGAAAAATCTTTTAGTTCATGCTGGACTCTATTATTAAACCATAAAGCAATTTGGAGGAATGTCTCCGTCAGTGCTCAGGAGCCCCTAGGGCCATCCCAGTGATTCTTGGCCCAGCCGTGTGGGCCTAATGGCCTAATGATTGCAGTCTCTTCTTGTATCAGAGATCTAATTCAGACCTGTGCACATGCAAGGCATGCGTACAACCCTTTGAACTATCATCCTGCTCCCATAAAATCACTGTCACTGTCCTACGTTGTTCATCGATTTGCTCGAGCAGACCCAGTAACATTGTGAGACTTGTTACTGTGTTTGGCATATCGAATACATCACGGGTAGCTTGCCAGGCTTTGCCGTGCAGGCAAGATACTCTCGGTAGCTTGCCGGGCTCTCCCAGAGGGGTGGAGGAATCGAACTCTGGTCAGCCCATAAAATAATTTTTTAAAATTTCTGAAGGGAAAAAAGTTTTGGTACCAGTGGATATGAGTCAGTGATGGAGCACCTAACCTGCCTTGATGAATGTGTAAAGATGTGTTTCCAACTCTTTTCTTCACTGCAAAGTACTATCTCTGGCTTTTTGAGTATGATCTGCAGCAAATACACATTTGTACCAATTTGTGTAACCCCTGGTGTATGAGCACCAGTGTATCAGATTACAACAACAAGAAGACAATGGAAGGAAAAATAAATTGTAGGCATCAGGTTCTGTTAGGAAAAAATATCCAAAAGTGCTAAACAGTGACAACCAATATCCCCAACACTCTGATTTTTATCCCTCAGCAATACACTCAGCCTTACCTCGTATCTGTATTTTTCATCCTATACTTTCTCTTGCTCTTGGGCTTTGGTTTGGTTTGGTTTGGTTTTGGTTTTTGGGCCACATCTGGTGATGCTCAGGGATTACTCCTGACGTTGCACTTAGGAATTACTCTTGGCAGGCTTGGTGGAACATATGGTGATACTGGGGATCAAACCCAGGTTGGCTGCATGCAAGAGCCTTACCCACTGTACTATATCTCCAGCCCTTTTGTCAATCCACTCAATTTACCTATATTTCCTCCATCTAATGGAAACATGTACCTTGCTTTTTATTACTCTCTGTGCTTCAGTTTATCACAATTTACTATAATTGTTCTTTAAAATATAGTATTTTTAATTATTTTTAATATTGTATATAGTGCCTGGCTTATCTCAAATGCTCAAATATTTGATAAGTATTTTATGGTAACAAAACAACTTGCTAGAGAGTCTCATAATACTCAGTACTACATCAGCAGTAATCCAGTTTCCTCTCCTGAGTGTTAGCTACAAAGATGGCTTAGAGCACCCCTACCCTTGTGGAAGTTAAACTTCACTTTTAAGGTAAGTATTTGCTTATTGAGGGGTAGAAAAGGGAATTTTGTAGCAATAATGGGAAAGAAAAATATACAATGGGTACATTTCTTAATGACACAAATGAATTGGAGATATATTTCGAAGTGAATCCAATTTCATTTTGAGGGAAAAATTTAATAATTTTCAGTGCAATTCACTATTTCTGTTTTGGTGCCTTACAATTTTAAAGTACTGTGGGACCAGAGAGATAGTACATGGTAAGGAGCTTTTTTGCATGTGGTCAATCCTGAATCAATCCCACCACCGTATGTGTTTCTCCAAGCATTTTTAAAAGTGACCTCTGAGCACTGCTGGGTGTGATCCCCAAAAACCAAAAAAAAAAAAAAATTAGAAAATAAAATTCTTTGCAAGATTAGCTTATACAGTGAGTATTAGCATTGTTGCCATTGTATAATTATTAATGTTTTAAACACTACATTTTCTGTGAGGTACTTACTGTGTACCACATCTACATTTTACATATTCTATAGCCGTAGAATTTTACATATTCTAATAGCAGCATAACAGTGTAATAGAAATTGCTAAACTGCCAGAGAATGCGGTTTTGGATAATCTGAACCCAAGCGCCAAGCTGAGTTCCGTAAAGACAGCATTCTCCAGTATCTACTATAGCTGGAAAAGAACATTTTCTATTATTCTCAGTGCTATTGTGGAATTACATAGGATAACCTTGGAATCTTCCATCAAAGTTGTTGGCATTGTGCCACCTTCTTTATTAATTTATAATTCACATAAGTTCATGGTGAAGGGTTATTTTTCTTTTCCCCAGATTTCAAGATTCACAGAGTTGTGGAGGTAACCATGTAGCCAGTTAACAGGTGATAATTTGTCAGTGAAAGTACATTACAAATTATGTATTTTGTAACAGTTCCCACAAATTGAGAGAATTTTCTAGGATAATTACCTATTTGAATCAACCTTAAAATCATCACTTCTTGGTCCTGATAGATACACAAGGGTTAAGGCACTTGCTTTGCATGCAGCTGACCCTAGTTCAATCCTGGGATACCAGTACTATCTCTGTCCCTGAGCACCACCAGATATAGTCTCTGAGTTTAGAGCCCTGAGCACCACCAGATATAGTCTCTGAGTTTAGAGCCCTGAGCACAGCTGAGTGTGGTCTAAAAGCAACAATACAAAATAATAAGTACTTCTTAATTTTTTAATGAGGCTAAAATATTAATTTTTCAAGCCCAGAAAATTATATTTAATCATTTCTGAAATCAGGTCTTATATAGATGACATCTTGTATCTAAAAGAATGATTATTTAAATAAATGCTGATACAGCCTTACCCCTGTCCAACTCCAGAATGGATCCTGCTGTCTAGAAGTCCTGTAAGATTTCCAAATGTATGAATTGGCTTATTCTTGTATTATCTTAAATTATTCCAGAAGTCCTGCCAGAAACCTGTGGACAAATATATCGAATATGATCCTGTTATCATCTTGATTAATGCTATTCTCTGCAAAGCCCAGGCCTATAGACATATTCTTTTCAATACTAAAATAAATGTAAGTTGTAGAATTTTAAGTTTCTGATTTTACTTGATGATGTGATTACATTTTAAAAGGTTAATACTTTTGTACATAATTAAAGATCATTTTAAAATTATTTCAGTTATGTCTGGAAGTTTCTAGACATAAAACTTTTTAAAAAATGTGCACAATGTTTAGAGAGTATATATGAGTGCGGTTGTTGGCAGAAAACTGACAAGTCACAGTCTCAGGTACTTTTTGTAGATTACCTTCTGAAATATATATCAATTATTCTGAATTAATTAAAATTGAATATATCTAGGTACAGAGACAATAATATCTAAAAGAAGTAAAGAAACATTAAAAGAAATATATGAAAACATTACTTACTGCATTTTATACTGTGCGATTGAGGTTATGCATGAGGTGAATAACAATGTTAAACTGAATCTGAAAAATTATAATTTACAAAATTGTATTCCCAAAACATTTAGTGTACTGAGTTGTGAATTAATACTTTTGATAAAACAAACAAACACTGTCCTCCTGTTGTTCATCGATTTTGCTCGAGCGGGCCCAGTAACCTCTCCATTTTGAGACTTGCTGTTACATGTTTGGCATATCAAATACGTCACGGGTAGCTTGCCAGACTTTGCCGTGCGGGCGAGATACTCTTAGTAGCTTGCCGGGCTCTCTGAGAAGGATGGAGTAATCAAACCCGGCACGACCAGGCTGGCTGCGCGCAAGGCAAAACGCCCTACTGCTGTGCTATCGATAAAGGACAGCCAATACTATTTGAAAATCAGATGAACTTTTTAGTATATACCCCAAATTTTTCACAGAAAATATACATAAAAAAAACATTTATCTGAAGTTCATATTTCACTGGGTAGTCTGTTATATTTTTTTTTCTTTTAACATGGACTGTAATGGTGCAGTTTATCTATTCTTGTACCTTCTGCCTCAAGTTAAACCCTGGGCAGTTTTTTAATTACTAGACTATTTTTTTTTAAGTCACTGTGCTTTACATTTTTTCTGTATAGACCACTTTGCCTCATATTAGAATTACCTGGTTGAGATGATAATGGATAAAAGTTAATACTTCCAAGTCTCAGCCTCACCCAGTGATTTAAGTCTGAATCACTGGAATTAGGAGCCAGACATTGAAATTTCTTACATCCCTCAGCAGTTTCCTAGTTTGGTCAGAAGGCCAGTGTGCCATCAGGATATACCTGTTCCTACACTACAATGGGTTTGCACACACTTTTATTTACCCACTTCACAGTGATAAAGTTCAACCTGTAAGGGAAATTACCTAAGGACAGAGATGCAGCTCAGTGACTGAGCATATGCCTGGCATGTATGGGACTCTCAGGCCAATTTCTGGAAATATATATATTCTTGGTACATCTTTTTTAAATGCATATTTAAGATGATAGGTTTTTTTTTTGTGATGTGTTGAAATCTTCTGTTCTCTCATTGTTGCTCTCACCAGTCCATGAATCACATATATTCTTGTTTGATTGGTTGTTGAAAATAAAATGGATAGTTGTTGGAAATAAAATAAAAGTTAATTAACACACTGATGCTGGTGTATACCACTGGTGGCTCATACTTAAAGGTAGCAGTTACAAATTACAGTATCTGCATTAACATGTTAAAAGTAATAATTCTTAGTTAGAAAAGCACATTAAAATTTTTCCATCTCAAAAAGAAAAATATGTTCTAAAATATGCATGTCTAGAATTTATTCCCAAAGATTCTGAATCAGAATTGGACCAGAATTAAAGATTTGTCTGTTTAAAAAAAAAAAACCCTCCCCCTGTGTGATGATTCTATTGGATGTTGCAAATTAAGACTCACTGATTTACAAACTGAATACAACTTTATAATTAATTAAACAATTCTGAATTTAGAAAGCTACTAGATTGGATGTTTTTCAGAACCATTAATAAATAGCTAGATCTGTACTCATTGATAATAAGTTTAGTTGAGTCTATCTAATTGAATGGCAATGTCTTTTTGACTATCAGATGCATGGAAAACTCTGCATATTTTGTTTGCTTTGTGAAGCATACCTGAGGTGGTGGCAGCTTCAAGATTCAAACCAGAAGAGTGATCCTGGTGACTTTATCAGATATGCTAAAGAGTGGGATTTCTATAGAATGTTTGCAGTTGCTTCTCTAGGTAGGAAGAAACCATGATTTCTGTTCTTAGTTGATTAGTGCTTATTTTTCTGATAAAAGCATGGTGTGTAGTCTTAAACAGTAAGAAAAGCCATTTAATAAAGGATTTGAGACTAAAATGTAGCTTTATCACTAACCTACTAGATGAACTTGTCAGAACGTTATCTGTTTTTCCACTTTTTGTTTCCACACATATGATATGGAAATAATTTTATTGTTATATTAGAGAGTTTTATCCAATATTTTTCCAACAGTACTGTTAAAAATCAATATGTTCTCAGATGTGAGTAGGGTGGAGGTAAGAAAAAAAAGTAATGGGACTGTGCAGTAGTACAGCAGGTAGGGTGCTTGCCTTGTACATAGTGGACCAGGGTTCAGTCCCTGACATTCAATATTGTCTTCTGCTTGCAGAGCAAGGAGTAAGTCCTGAGCATCACCAGGTGTGGGCGCCAAAAAAAAAAAAAAAAAAATCAGTATAGTCTGATTTATAATTTGAAGGTTATCTTGGTCCTATCTTTTGTTGTTGTTCTTTTTTCTTTTTATATTTTTCACTTCACTTCACTTCATCATCCTGTTAATCGTCGATTGCCTCGAGCAGGCCCCAGTAACGTCTCTTTCATCCTAGCCCTGAGATTATTTTCACGGCTCTTTAGGAGAATGAGACCCATCATTGTTACTGGTATTTGGCATATTTGGTAGGCCACGGGGAGTTTGCCAGACTCTGCCCTGTGGGCAGGCTACATTCCATAGCCTGCAAGTTTGTCAAAAGTAGGAATGAGATAATAAGATGTCATAATAAGATGTCCGGGATCTGGATTTTATAGTCTCTGAGTCTTGGCCGCTGATGGGATTACACGGCGCCAGGGGGCCAGGTGGTGGGTGTGACCCCCGCCTACTGGAATTTGGAGGATCTGGGTGGAAGATGCTCGACTCCAAATCGAGTAGGCTTGGAGGTCTCGGCCCCGGAACCCGCGTGGCTTTGTCCCTCTGCCAGTACCTTCAGGTGTGCGGAGAGTGGTCTCAGCATGGTGGTGGCTGGTCCTGGAGGTCTTCGGCTGCCGTAGCCCTGGTCGGGGCGGGGAGGAAAGCTCAACCCGCTCCCCTCTAAGGGACTCCGGGAAGGAACACCCAGGCGCGGGGGCAGAGACTGCACTTTTCTCGTCCGGGATCTGGATTTTATATTTTTACTGAAGTAAAAGTTTTATTAAAGAATTTTGGGAGAGAAGAGAGTTCCATAAAGGAAATAAATTATACACCCCAAGTACATATGCACAGGCAACTTCAAAATGAAGCTCAAAAATTTAGTTATTTAGGGGCCGGAGTAATAGTACAGCAGGTAGGGCATTTGCCTTGCACATGGCTGACCCAGTTTGATCCCCAGCATCCCATATCCAGGAGTAATTCCTGAGTACAGAGCCAGAAATAACCATTTAACATCGCTGGGTGTGATCCAAAAATCCAAAAAACAAAAAATTAGATTTTTATTTATTACACATAGAAAAATTTGCCCATCTCCCAAGTTCCCTAAATTAAATAATTCCTTTCCCTCAGAATTTAAATTTGTAACTTAAATTTACAAGTTAAAAATTTGTAACTGTCAGAATTATAGTTAGCAACCATTGGTAGCCAGGCTTTTCTGCTTTGAAAATTTATTTTAATGAAAAGTTATTTTAGTAATATTGTCTCTAAGTTCATGCCAATGTCACATTCTGGTCTGTGTTCTCTTTATTCCTTCTTTCTTTTTTATCTGCTCTTAATTCCTTTGTTCCTCTCATCTAGCTCAGTCGTTTTAAAAATCATCTATAGGGGCTGTAACAATACAGCAGGTAGGGCACTTGCGGCTGACCTTCCAAGCACGCCAGGAGTGATCCCTGGCACAGACCCAGGATTAAGCCCTGAACACCACCAAGTGTGGCCCAAAAAATGAAAAATTAAAAATAAAAATCATCTATACGATGAGAATTCCCAATTGTACATAATATCATTACAAATATACTGCATTTTGTAATTTAAACGCTATTTTAAAGTCCCACAGCCCATTTAAAAAAATTGCTGATACAGGAGAAGGCCTCTGCACACAGTATTTTCTCCACTGCATCCTAGGCAGCAACTTTTAATGAAAGCCTCCAGAAATTGAAGCTTCATAACGTCTGTCTCTTGGAAGCATGTACTGGGAGCTAATGCATTTCATAAATCTCTCACCAAGTTAGAAAAACATGGAGGTTATCTAGTCTATTCTTCTATCCAATGCACGAAAGTCTTCTCTCTGGGTTCCTGCAGGATGTTCTTGCATTGTATACATCCACTATCAGGAGGCAATCCACCATTGTTAGACAGTTCTTGCCAAGAAATTTGTTATTTTACCTTCTTTTTTTGTCCAGGATCCAAACTAGAAGATATGCATGATTGAACAGATCTTTGTAGCTAATAATAATAAGCCCTATATTTCCTTTTTTTGGGGGGGTGGTGTCTGGGATCGGAGGGGCAGTGTTTGTGGGTAGAGGTGGTGGTGGTTTCAAAGCAGTGCCCAGTGAATCCAGAGACCACTCCTGGGTTTCCCAGCCAACCAATCAGTGGTTCAGTGCAATGGCCCAAAGATGAGGTGCTGCCTGTGCCCTGTGGTGCCAGGGATCACCCAGTAATGGTTGGGAGCCTCCAGGGCCATCTACAAGCGCTTCAGTTATTTTAATGGGACATGGTTGTTTCATTGAAGTATATACCAGTTTTGATGTAGGTTAATCATTCTAAATTATTTTTTTGTTGATCGTAATCACCTATGTTTGGATCCTCTTTAGATTGGTTATATTCCATTACAAAACATTTTAAGAAGAAAGCAGTTGTGTGTGTGTGTGTGTGTATGTGTGTGTGTGTGTGTGTGTGTGTGTGTGTGTGTGTGTTCCTGAAAAACTATTCTGCAGAATCCTAATTAACACAGTTTATAAGACAAAGTAGGGTCAGAAACACTCAACATAAAACAGCTGCATGATCAGAGCAGTAACAATTTTAATAAATAAAAATAATTTAATCAAAAGGTATGTTAAATTGGAACAACAAAGATTATGTTCTATTCTTACTATGGAATACAAGTTGTGTTATTGCATCTTCATTAGAGGACCTCCAGCTCCAAGCACATCCCTTCGATTCCACTGTTCTTCCTGCATTAACATATGCCTCAGAGACCTGGGCCCTATGAAAACAGGACGAGAATGCTATTCGGATCTCTCAAAGAGGAATCGAAAGAGCTATGCTTGGAGTATCACGCTTCACTCAAATGAGAGATAGAATCTGGAGTTCCGATCTCCATCAATGCTCAAGAATCAGGGACGCTGTCTCATTTGCCAAGGCATCAAAAATCAGATGGGCTGGACACGTAATGAGGTTTAGAGACGACTGCTGGACTAGAGCCATTACTGACTGGATTCTACGGGACGTCAAAAGATCACATGGACACCCACCTATAAGATGGTCAGACTTCTTCGTCAAGACCCTGAATGATCAGTTTGAGGCTCCGCATGTTCCTAGAATGAGCAGATGCCATTGGGCTACGCTAGCACGCAACAGGGATGAATGGAGACGTTACTGGCACCCGCTCGAGTAAATCGATGAGTAACGGGGTATCAAGTGATCAAGTGATCATTAGAGGACAACGAAAATTTTTTAGAAGGATAAGAAATTGTATTTTAAAGGTTTGTTAAAATTAATAAAGAGAACTAGGAAGCTATCTCAAAGGGCTAATGTGCATCCCTTGTATGCCAAAGGCCTGGTTTTGATTGACAACACTGCATGATTAACAAGCACCACCAGAAATAACCCCAACCTTCAAGAAAAAGTAGCCTCTGAGCATCTCTGGGTGTAGTCAAAATAAACCAAAATTAAATTAAAAGGAAGTTTTACATTTTAGGTAACTGCATTCAAATTCCTGTAGATAATATAAGTGGAATAAACAGTGGAATAAGAAATAATATTTTTATAAGTAATTTTTTTAATAAGTCCCATACTCAAACTTAAAAACCTCCATTCTCCTGTTTTATTCTTTCCATGAAGATCTTTAAAACTGAAGAGATTTAAAGAGAATCTTACCTCCCAGAAGGAACTTAGGATGTTGATGATTACAGTTCTGATGGCACTATTTTTTCTTCAATGGATTATGAAATGTTTCACAAAAGAATTACTGTAAATATTATTAATGTAAAATTTGCTGAATGTGTCTTAAATATAACAGCATAATTTATTACAAGAGGCAGGGACTTATTTTTTTTTTTAACGAAGGAAAAGAAGCCAGGGATGTAGTCCAGTGGTAGAGTGCCTGCTTTATATGGGTTGGTTCCTCCAAAGAAAGAGAAAAAGGAAAGTTAACCTTTTTTTTTTAAGTAAATAGATTTTATTTGGAGGGTTTTTTAGGTGTGGAGGGGAAGAGTGAGGGGGGGAGAGAGAGAGAGAGAGAGAGAGAGAGACGCACTCAAGAGAAAACATGGGCTTCTCCAAGGGTGGAGAGAGCCCCTACACATATCTTACCATTAGACACGAAAGCATGAAAGTACACATCTCAAGAGGGGAGATGCGGGGGACATGTGCTCAGGCACCATGGGCTTGGACAGCATATGTGCCAGGAAAGTTAATCTTAATAAAACATTTTGTGTGGATTCAGCTGTATTTTGAAATTGTGGTTTACTTTTTATAAAGGGATGTGGTTTGGATAGAAACATATTTTTCTGTTTCTTCTTTAGAACAAGCTGCATTTTTTGTTGGCATTTTTACTTTCCTGTGGATAGAACCTATGCTAGTGGGGGGAAAAAACAACCTCACCTTGCTGCTGAAAGCATTGTTATTATCTAGCTATGGAAAACTCCTACTGATTCCAGCTGTCATTTGGGAACATGACTACACACCCTTATGCCTCCGACTCATTAAAGTGTTTGTTCTTACATCAAATTTTCAGGCAATTAGAGGTATGTTTCTGTGTTTTTTTTTCTATTACATCAATTTTCAATCCACATAAAAGTGTAAAAGGCTTATCTTCTGAATGCCATTTTTATATAATCTCTTAAATACTGATATTTTTTTCTTACTATAATAACAATGCCTAACATTTATATTATCTTGTGCATCACATATTCAGTGGATTTTAATTTTTTTTTTCAACTTAACCACACAGTGCTTTTAGTTTTCAAAATGCTTTCAAAAGATGTGTTATCTGTCCCTCTGTCCTGTGGGGTTATAAAAGCAACCATTATTACGTATACTTTATGAATGAGTTTGTGATGACTTTTCCAAAGTTACATGGCTGGATAGTTATCAAGCCACGATAAGATGCCAGGTACCTGTTTGCCAACTTAGCATACTATCAGCAAAGAAAAAATAAGGAACTTCATTTTCCCATGTATGTGAGAAATGCTATTTTAAAACTTTAACATGAGTTTTATCATAAGGCTCAGCAGTTGTAGAACTGAGCTTATCAGTTTTTTTCTGCTAATCTTTTTATAACCATAAGACCTGTTTTTATTTTCCTTTTAATATTCCCGAAGCTTTTTATTTGAGGAGAAGTAGCTGAGTATTTTATAAGCAGATGAATTGATTCTGTCAAGGATTTTGTGGATAGAAAACTATGAGAATATTAATAAGAACAATGGTTTTCTAAAATCAGCTTTACAAAACAGTTATATTCATACTACCATATAATTTACATGCCAGTTATTATTTGATTAAACTTTTAAAAACTTACTAGTTCCCTTTTCTTTTTCAGTGACTCTAAATATCAATCGAAAGCTCTCCTTTTTGGCAATATTAAGTGGCTTACTGCTGGAAAGCACCATGGTCTACTTCTTCCAGAAGATGGAGTGGGATATTGGAAGTGACTGTGCCTTCTATAAATCTCAAGACTTTTGAAGAAGTAGAAAAGTATCTTTGTGTTCATGTATGTATTCAGGGAAAGAAATTTTCAGAATTGGACTGATGTCTTTATAAAATAAATATCTTCACAATTTTCATTCCCTAACATATTACTTCCAAGTCACGTCCAGATCTTCCTGAAGGATGTTAGTACATTTCTCTTAGAGTCCCAGTTCTTTTGTCATATTCAGTGGCTTCAATCTCTAGTTGGGTTTTTTGGGTTTTTTTTGTTTGTTTGGAAGGCTGGTTGGGTTTTGGTTTTTCAGGGTTTTGCTTGTTTGTTTTCTAGTTTACAGTCCTACTCATAATTTCTCTGACACCTTCTCTGAAACTAAGTTTTTATATTAACAGATTTGAATTTGTTCCACTGACCAGTATCTCCTACTTTTCTCAATCATTTTATTCCCACATTCTACCTTCCCTGCTTTGAATGCCCTTGTTTTCTACCTCTAGTAGCTTGTTCCCTAACTTTCCTTAACTTCTAACCATACCTAGAACCTACAGCAGTTATTAAGTTATTCTCGTTTACTCCCTTGAAACCTGTCAGCTTTCTGCCTTTTTGTCAAGGATACTTTTGTCTAAGTCTTAACCATTTGTATTCTCTATAAACATGGAGATTGTTGTGTGTCCAGGACATCCCTGCCTATGCACTAAATGTCAGCCGGATCTCTGTGTTCCTCTAAACGTGTAGTCACCTCTAATTACCCTTCCTTCGAATGGTCTTAAAGTGAAGGGCCAGGAAGATGGTTCAAAGAGATGAAGCACATGACTTCCCTATAGAAGACCAAGAGTTTAATCTCTATTATTTCATAGTGCCCTCAACACCTCTGGGTATCTCCCTGGTAGCCCCTGAGCACTTAACATGAATGTTCTTAAATCTCTATGCTCCTCGTTCCTGTGTTTGCTATCACTTTCTTGAGAATCACTTAACATTTTTTCATCATTCACAACTTGCCTGGACATGTCTTCATATGTTTTTCATTCCCTACTGTCTAGCTTCCTCTCTGGGGCCATTTCCAACCTTTAAGTCCTCCTTTTAGTCACAGGTGTATTTCTGGACCACAACCTATTTCTCCTTGCAGACTGTTTTAGAATGTAGGCTGACTTTAGAGGTTTGGCCTTGAGCTTGAGTGGCTGTAGATGGTGAGGAAGGCACAGAGGCTGGAGCTGCACCCTTGACCACTCTCACATGTGGAAAGGCTTTTTGTAGGTGGCACCTCTAAATCTCTGTATATAACTGTCCTTTTCCTCTCCAGGTCTGCAGAGAAATTGCCCTTCTCCAAATGGCTCTTCCCCTCTGCACTATTTCATAACAATTGACAAACCTGTTCTTCACTAGCTTTTCTCTTTGTAAAGTATCATTTCTGAGTCTCCTGAATCTGCATTCCTAAGACTCATACCCCCTTTGTCAGGGTTGTCCTCCTCCAGCTCTACTCTGAAGCACTCCTCTTCTAAAACCAGCTGCCTGTTGTTTTTTTTGTAGTTTTTTTTTTTAATTGTTTGTTGCAGGATCCTTAGCAACAAACAGCAGTTATGTCCAGAAGCTTCTGAGACTGCCCCAGTACCAAATTCTTGTCAGGTTGTCCATTATCATTCCTGGTTAGGAAAACAAGTTTGCCTGCCATTAATAGCCTTTTGAAAACCATTATCTTCTTTGACGTTACCTCATTTTTTACACTCTGTCATATTAAAATTTCATGTGTTTTGTGACTGATTCTCCCAATTGGGTTAAAAGTTTGCTGTCTTGGGGCTGGAACTATGGTACAGCGGGTAGGGCATTTGCCTTTTACGCGGCCGACTCGAGTTCGATTCCCAGCATCCCATGTGGTCCCCCGAGCACCGCCAGGAGTAATTCCTGAGTGCAAAGCCAGGAGTAACCCCTGTGCATCGCCAGGTGTGACCCAAAAAGAAAAAAAAAAGTTTGCTGTCAGAGCAATAGGCAGGGTCTGGGAACAACCAAGTGTTCAAGAATAGTTGACTATATAAAGAAATTATACACAATGCATATACACAATGGAATAAGAAAAGGAAATTTAAGAATTAAGAAAATTAAGAATTAATTAAGAATTAAGAAAATTAAGAATTAATTAAGAATTAAGAAAATTAAGAATTTAAGAAAAGGAAAAGTCATGCGATTTTCTGCTACGTGAAGCGACCTGAAGGGTATCATGTTGAAGGAAATTAAAGAAAGAGATTCTAACACAGAATTATCTCTCTCGTATAAGAAACATAATGATGGAATAAGGAATACCAAAGACAATGGAAACAATATAAGAACTGGTATTCAATAGGAAGCATGCCACTTGAGGAGACGGGGAATAGAACAGGGAGGGGTAAAATCTATGGTGGAGGGAAGTGTTCAAGTGGGAAGGAAAGGTACTAAAATGTGGTAAAGTGTTTTATATGAAACATCAGCAACAAAACTGTAAACCATAGTGCAAAAACAGATCCTGAAGTTTCTGGATGCAGCTACAAGATATCTCCAAATTGCACAATACTGAAATTCCAATAGGAGCACACCATATTATATGGGCCAACTAAATGCAACAAACAATAACACCGACAGCTCAACTAGCAAAAAACAGCTTAGTAAGTCCTCAGGCAAGGAGTTAACTACCCCATGGTGAGATATAACAATTTTCACAAATTTTCTTTTAGTGAACTATTTTTTGATAATTTCATAAATCATATAGTTGTAATAAGCAATATGAAATCAATTACTCTATGCTTGCTAAGGGAGCAGTCTTAGAGGGTGGTTGGTAAAATGGAGACATTCGTGAGAGGAAGGTTACTCTGGGGGCCTGATTGGTGTTGGAATATCAAAAACCTGCAGCAACTATATTATGAACAACTTTGTAAACCACAATGTTTAAAGCATTGTTTTTTTAAGTGCCTCTCATAGAAGCAGACTGATGACTGGAGGTAAATTGGTTTTTGTTTGTTGTTTTTTGGGTTTTTTTTTTTGTTTTTGTTGTTTTTTTTTTTTCTTTTTGAGTCACACCTGGAGATGCACAGGGGTTACTCCTGGTTCTGCACTCAGGAATTACCCCTGACGGTGCTCAGGGGATCATATGGGATGCTGGGAATTGAACCCAAGTTGGCCACGTGCAAGGCAAACAACCTACCCTCTGTACTATCGCTCCAGGCCAATGGAGGTAAATTGGGGTGGCAAGAGGGCATTGTTAAAAGGAAGTTGCCACAGGAGAAGGGATTGGAATTGAGACATTGTGTGCCTGAAACCTTTTTTGTAATTTTGTAGTGACTAGAAATTTAAAAAAAAAAAATTTTTTTAAAGTTTGCTGGCAGGAAAAAACATGTCCAAGGAAAATTTATCTCCCATAGTACAGAGACTTCCCTATTTAATTTGCTACTTGATTTTCAGAAGAATTCTACATATTTCTATTATTACTTAAGGTTCTATTTTTTAAAAACTATCTGAATTACAACTAAAAGTCTTGACATAAATCAGAATATAAGCTTCTCGTTTCTGTTTCATGACGCAACGATCTGGATGCTCTTCTTTTAAAAAGCGATGGTATGGGTCTTGAGTTATATATAGTACAGCAGGTGGGATGCTTTCCTTGCACTCAGCTGACCTGGGTTCAATCCCAAGCATCTCCTACGGTCCCCCAAACCAACCAGGAGTGATCTATGAACGCAAAGCCAGGAATAAGCCCTGAGCACCACCAGGTGTGTCTCCTCCACCCCAAATTAAAAATCAATAGTAGGGCCTTGGGAAAAATCCCAGCCTTACCATCCTTCACTCCTCACCCTAAATACAGGAAACATGTAAAGAAACAGAATATTTGTACAAGGACTGATATATACAACACGCAGATTTATAAAGTCCACTTCAGGTGAACATTTGAACTGAGAAAGGAACATGAGCTCATGACGATCATAATAAAATATTTATGCTTCATTCATGCTTTTTATTTCAGTTAAGTTGCTGACAATGTAGTAAAAATAGTGTTCTTACAGTAGAAACATTAAAGTAAAAATAAACGGCTTTAATAAATTCTCAATTTAGTATCTTTTCCCCATAACTTTCTCTTTAAAATTGCTGACCCTAGGGGCTGGAGCAATAGCACAGCGGGTAGGGTATTTGCCTTGCACGCGGCCGACCCGGGTTCGATTCCCAGGATCCCATATGGTCCCCTGAGCACCGCCAGGGGTAATTCCTGATTGCAGAGGCTAGGAGTAACCATTGTGCATCACCAGGTGGACTCAAGAAAAAAAATGCTGACCCAAAATAACTAAAACCACAAAAATATTTTTACAGAGGTGAATTGTAGCTCAATAAATCTGTTATTAAACAGGCATTGCCTCTCCCAGCTCCTACCCATTTCATTTATTTTTTCATTTGTTATTTACATTTTTCATTTGTTATTTATTTACAGAGCACCTACTACTATGTGTTTATCAGATACTAAGTAATGGTGAATAAAAAGTCACCATTTTATTTGACATTTGAGCAGTGATGGAGTAGGTAATTGTAGTATAGTGTGGTAAGTGTTACAGTGGAGTAATTATAGAGTACTAGGGAAGTAGTAAGTAGAAACATATCATATTGTCTAACAGAAAATCTTTCCAGAGGAAGGGAACAAAGAACTTTCAAGTATCTTTGTAACGGTGAATGCAAATTCCTAGGGGAAGTAGCAATGTATCCACAAAAATAGGAAGTATATAATAAGTACATAATACAGTGGGTGGCTTGTGGACAGTGAATATAAAAAATTATACTAGAGTTTTGGGAAAGAGTTTGCATGTTTTATATGCTCACTAGAACTGCATGGACCCCTGAGTACTGCTTGAAACAGTCCCCAAGCACCAAGACAGGAGTGGCCCCTGAGTCTTTCAGTTATAGTGCCAAAAAAAAAAAATCACCAGAAGCAACCCCTAGACTCTGGACTGGGAGTAACTTCTAAGAACTAACACATATGACTCAAGGAAGAGAAAAAAAAATTAGTAAACCACTTTATTTTTTTTTTATATAGGAGTACTACTATTTATTCAGCCACTGATCAGCTGATTGAATTGGGCATGAACATCTTACTTTTTTTTTCATAATTTTATTTATTTATTTTTTTCT